AGAACCACTGCATTGGAGTGTAATTTGATATCTGGGAGGGGACAGTGTCCCTGCAATAGAAATACCAGCTCCCACTTACTAAGCACCTGCCGATTTCCATGGGAAATGATTTTAGAAGCTTGGTGTCCCCCATAATCCTGGGGGAGGGGCACCAAAAGAGGATCGGCGCCTACTTTACAAATGAGGAAACAATTTCTCTGACTTTAATTCTACAAGATATTCTCCTAACAGCCTAAAGACTGGGGTCAGAGAATATCTGGAAGGGCAGGGGCTTGGTGTGGGCCTGGGGAGGGACGCCCAGGCCCGCCCTCTTTCCCCCAGGGGTGGACAGCACCACAGGCTTCGGGGGGTCATCGCCGCAGCGCTGTTTGCCTCCTGTCTGTGGGGAGCCTTGATCTTCACGCTTCACCTGGCCCTGAGGCTGCTTCTGTCCTACCACGGCTGGCTCCTTGAACCCCACGGAGCCCTGTCCTCACCCACTAAGACCTGGCTGGTATGTAAGGAGCAGAGAGCTCTGCTAGGCCCTCCGGGGACCCACTTCTCTGTCCCCCTTTCCCTGGGTCCCTGTGGTCCTCTGGGTCCCTATCCCCCTCCATCTGGTCTTTGTCCCCCTGTCTCTGGGTCTCCCCGTCTCATTCTCCTCAGGGAGGAGTTTAATGACCCACTAATTCCCGTTTCCCTCCAGGCCCTGGTCCGCATCTTCTCCGGCCGCCACCCAATGCTCTTCAGTTACCAGCGCTCCCTGCCTTGCCAGCCCGTGCCCTCCGTTCGGGACACCGTGCGCAAGGTGCGCCTGGGACCTGGGATGGGCGGGGGGCGGGCGGGGGGCGTGACCCACCCTCTGCCCCTCCTTGTCCCTTCAGTACCTGGAGTCCGTCCGGCCCGTCCTTTCCGACGAGGACTTCGACTGGACGGCCGCCCTAGCGCAGGAATTCCTGAGGCTGCAGGCGTCGCTGCTGCAGTGGTACCTGCGGCTCAAGTTCTGGTTGGCTTCCAATTACGTGAGTCCACCACCCTGAAGGCAGAGATTCTGAGCCCGCCCTCCTACCCGTGCAAGTTCTGCCCCCTACGCCCGACCCCCCACGTTACGCGCCCGCAATCCCCAGGCCCTGCGGAGATGGGAATCCCACCCCAGACCAGTGGAGGTTCCGAGCCCCGCCCTGCCCAACATTCTGAGCCCCGCCCCCACGCTCGAATAGTTTAAATCCAGCCCAAGACCCTCCAATATTCTGAGCGCCTCAACGCTGTCCAATATTATGAGCCCTGTCCATCATGGGCCAACATTTTGAGCTCTACACCCCATGCTCAGACTTTCTGAGCCCAATAATCTACGCTCCACCTCCAGGAGCCACCCACAGCCCCGAGCTCCGTCCCCAGCCCACCAGTATTTGAACGGGACTTCCAGGACCCATCGATGTTTCAGTTCCTCCCCTGGCCGGCCAGCCAGCAGTCTGAGCCCCGCCCCCAGAAGAGTTCTTGCTTTTCCCCCGTTCTGCGCAAGGTCGCCTTCCCCAAACGGGCTTCTGTTCTGAGTTCAGGAGCCAGGCCCTTGATGACACTGAGTTGGGCTCGTTGGGAAACAGGCACACAGACAGCCAGTGATTCACCCCAAACGGAGCGTACGGGCCCCCATCC